GCCCAGGTGTCCCGGGTCACAGCGTGGATTCTGGTCTCACCCGCACTCCCAGCCAGCATGGCGTGACCTCACTGCCCCAGCTCCTGGCACTCCTGGTAGTGGGAGCTCCCTCTCAGCCATTCTCCACACTCATCAGGGCCACTTTCTCTTACAAAACAATTTCTGGTTCCTTCATCGCATCAAAACCAATTATATTGCTTTACTAACACTGCATAGATGTTCCAGGTTTTATTTAAGAAAAATGCCACGGATGACGCAGTCTTTGTAAAAATAAAATCTCACCTACCATGTTTTTGTCCTCTTTTCATGTCTCGTGGCTATGTTCTTTAAGAGCTCTTCATGGCAGCCCGGGATGTGTTTTGTAACAACTTTCCTTGATTGTGCTTTCTTTCTATTTGAGTCACATTCTTCTCTCATTGTACTTTATAATTGGCTACTATTTGCATAGAGAAAGATTTTGTGTAATAATTTTGTCACTTGCTCATGGGTTAAACTCTTATTTTTGATTTTTGTGTGGTTACTTCTCAATGGTTTTTTGATCATCAAGTCACAACTCTGTAATAATGATTCATCAACCTCCTGACCATGAGATAAAGGCCTGCAGTTTTCTTCTCATCGAATTGCAGTGACTAACAATCTCTGGCCTTTGGAGATCTCATAACCAACCTTTCATTTCATGGAGGAAGAGGCCACGGCCAAACCACAGAGGTCACGGTCATGTCATGCGGTCAGCCTGTGACCGAGGCCCCTGACTTTGCAGAACTCTGGGATCACAATAAAAAAGTCCCTGTCTGTCCCCATCCCCCAGCTTCTACTCTCTTGTTTCTCTTACTTTCCCTTCTCATGTCAAAGATCGACTTTCCTTAGTGTCCAAAAGAACCAAACAAGATTTTATCAAACATAGTGTTAAAAAAAAAAAGTTTTTCTTGTTGTTGTTGTTGTTTTGTTTTGTTTTAAACTAATGCTTCAGTCCTTTTTTTGTTAATGTGATTTCTTCAGAAAAAACCCTTGATTGTTCTTCCAGGACATGATGAAGACTTTCAACTCATGCGTGAAGTACGGGCTGCAGTGTCAGGCCATGTCTTGGGGGCTCAGAAATGGGGCAGGGACCAGTAAAGGACCTGGGAGAATTTTAATGACAACACAAAACCCCGCATCTGTAACTCTCAGACTGAATCTGCCACTCTTTGAGGACCCAAAATTGAGTCAAATGAGTTCAAGTCGAGATTTTTTATTGATAAGGTAGCTCCTGAGAAAATCCACTTTGGGGACAGGAATTTGGGCCACTACCATTCACAAGCCCTGAGAGAAAGCTCTGGGACATGTAGGGACGGCGAGAGACATTGTAAAAGGTAAGGATGGCTGATACTTTTAAAGAAAAAAAAATAGTTATGAAGGAAGGAAGGGAAGCAGGGGTGGAGGGGAGAGAGAAGAGAGAGAGAGAGAGAGAGAGAGAGAGAGAGAGAGAGAGAGAGAGAGAGAGAGAAGAAGAAGAAAGAAGAAGAAAGAGAAGAAGAAAGTGAGGGAGCGGAGAGGGCGGGAAAGGAAGAAGAGAGAGATGAGCGAAAAGCGTAGGGAGAGGACGTGAGAAGTATATGAGCGAGGGGAAGATAGAGTCTCGATATCCTGAAACTCTTCCCAAAAATTCTTCTCACGTTTAGGGACAATAAAGGTCCCCCACCTGCTCCCCTGTGAGGGCCCCACCAGAAGGGCAACGACCCCAAACAGGTGGCCTGCCTTAGTGTCACTTCTCTTCTTCCTGATGAGAAAACAGTGCAGGCTGCTCAGCACTCTCCACTCTCTGATCAAGGAGCCTTACCCTGACTAGACAGGCTATGTGTACAGGAGGAACTGCTTCTCTGACGCAAAGACAGAGCCATCCCCTCGCCATCAGGACCAGCTGGTGTTCTGTCCCTGCTGACCCACTGGTCACCATGAGATGACAAGGTTCTGAAAGCCCCAGCCTTGGTGTGTTTAGGCTTTGTCTCCTTGGTGCTGAGCCCTTTGGCATGAACCAGACGGAACAATTTTAGCCTAAAACCAGGAAACACTGTTCACAAAACCATGGAGCCCAGGATTCCAGAAGCCCTGACTGAGCTGGCTTAGGCCTCCTTCTCCACCCTGTGAGCCCAGGAGCTGCTCCTCACCGGGAACCTGGGTCCCTCAGAGGCGGTCGTTCACTGCTGAGCGTGTGCCAACCTGCCACCATCCTGCTTCGCATGAGAACCCGACAAATCCATTACAAGCTCCCAGAACTTTACTTTAGGTCAGTTAAAGTGAAACAGGCCACCTGCATATGGAGGCCAGTTGCCCACCCATGAGCCTCAGGATCAGCCTCTCTGAACAGTGTGGCTCAGTGGTTGAGCATTGTCCTATAAACTGGGAGGTCACAGTTCGATTCCCAGTCAAGGGCACATGCCTGGGAGAGCTTGATCACCAGTAGGGGGTATGCAGGAGGCAGCTGATCAATGATCCTTTTTTTGTCATTGATGCTTCTGTCTCTCCCTCTCCCTTTCTCTCTGAAATCAATAAAAACATATTTTTTTAAAAGTGCCCAAAGTTAAGTGCCATTGAGCCCTCACCACTGGCTTGGCATCGTGCCAGGTGCCCTGGGTGGTCATTTCATCTTCAAAATGTCATAGAAGGACTCTACTCTATGTACAAGGTCACAGGACGATGGTGGTGATGCGCATGGGACCCTAACTCCCCTGAGTCCCACCTACGCGCACAGCCACCTACCTCCTCGCTTTGTGCAGCCTGGGCCTGGCCACAGAAATCACTCAGGGAGCTTGAAAACATGACACAGAAAAGAAAAGAGGAAAGGTGCACTAAGATTTTGGATTCCTAGGTTCTGGTTCTGCCCTGACTTACAAGTCACACCACCAGTCTAGGCCTCAGATCCCTCCTCAGCGACATCCCAAGTCCCCTCCTCAGTTCTGAGACCCATGGCTTCAGATGCTGCCCACAGGGTGCAGGAGGCAAAGGGCAGAAGAGTGAAAGGGGCAGGAATGAGATGCTGGCCTCAGTGTAATGGGATGTATTGCCTAACACTATAGGGACTCAACACAGCTAGCCTTGACCTCCAAACTAGTCCCAAACCCTGCCCAGTCTGCACTCACCTCTTCTCCCTCCTGTAGGCAGCAGGCTGCTTGCTCAGCTGATTCTTCATTCTCAGGTCATTCCTGAAGGTGAGGCAAGTGATCTGTTGGTGTTCTGCTCACACTGCAGCAAGCGAACCAGAGAAACCACTGAGCGGGCAATTCCCAGCTGAGCTGCACGGTCCTGGCAGCCACCCAGGGACAAGGACAGGCACCCTTTGGCGCTGGTGAGTGGGCTTGGCTAGCCAGCAAATGTCTTCAGGGACAGGAGCCCCATAGATGCCAGAGGTCAGCACCGTCCTGCTCCTCGGGAAGGTGACAAGGAAATGACTCTCCCACTGAGAGCTCAGTGGGCACTCAGGTGTCTCAGAGCATCTGGTGCCGCCTTAGCGAGCACCCAGACTGGGAATTGCTTGTGTCCCAGGGGATACTGAGACCATGAGAGCTGGAAGACATGGAAAAGAGGGGGAGACAGGGAAAATACGTTTCTACAGTACTAAATTGGGGCACTTCGTTAGGGCTATGATGGTGAATAAGTTTGAAACAAGTGGGTTGAACATGGCTTGGGTTGGAAACAACAAAGAAATAACACTTGAAAATATGATTAAAAAGTGTTCAAAAAGGAATGATCACATGACTCCCTCACTTCACATTTTTGTCTCCTATTTTCTATAATTTTTCCTCTCATTCTTCATCAAAACTCTAGGAAAGACTGCCATTGCCATTATTAGGCGAGTCCCCCATAACTACTTCCCCAAACAATGAAAACACTCCTCACATAAGGGAAGAAGGCTCCTTGCAGCTCTGTGGAGGCCAGGAGGTGAACTCACACAGGCTCGAAGCCCAGAGGTTAGCACTGTGGGCTCTGAACCCCCAGGCTGCCTCTAACCAGCCAACCTGTGCTTCACAGTCTTCACTTGTAAACTACATGACAGAATCTACTTCACCACATTGATGGAACAAGTAGAGGGGTTAAGCCCACTGATGCATGCTGCGAAAAGCAGGTGCTTAAAAACATTAGTTCTCCTGATGGCGGTGGGCATGGAGGCTGGTCTGGGAAGCTGGGGTGTGAATGGGAAGGAGGCCAGTGACAGGGTGTTGTATGCAACTGCTGTGCCCCACAGTGCTCTCTGTGTGACAGCCACCATGCTTGTGATACATTTCCACATCAAAGACATCTGACAAGGCCCTTCATATTAATCACAGCTTCATCACTCTGACAAGACATCAGGGTATTAGACTCCCTCTTTCGTGGGGCTACACCTGGACACAGTTTTGCAAGCCATGTGCTGTGGAGGGTGCAGTCCACAGTGCACAACAGGGCTATAGACACAAGTCATTGAGGTTCAAGGTACAGGTCTTGAAGATGGAGGGTCCACCCTGCAGGTTCAGGGCATCACTTCCTGTAGGGAGCTAGTAGATCCTGGGGGTAGGCTCCAGGGGAGAAGAGGAGACAGTGAATCAGCTCAGGTGGAATGAGGACAGTGGGACATGAGGGGAGGAGTTGGTCAGAGCCAAGGCTAAGGACAGATTTTTTATAAAATATAAAATAATGTAAAGTATCTGTATAGATAAGAGAGCAGGGCCCAACATCAGACAACAGAGGCCTCTGGTCCCTGACTTACGCAATGAGAGCTCAGCTCCCTGTCTTTTTTGAACATTAGAAGGTAAGTGTCCAAGCATATGGGAAACAGAAAACATATCAGTGTCCTTATCATCGTTATCAACTTGAAACAAGTGTGGACACTCAGCACACAAACATGTGCTGTGATGAAGGGCCAGGAACAGGTGCATCAAAGGGCTTTGAGGGTGACAGCGGCCTTGGTCTGAGGCCAGCAAAGGCACAGCTTCTCTCCTGCATTGTGTGTCTCTGAGCCTCCTCCCCTCCGACCTATAAGTACAGCCTGACTGTGCCCTCCACACCACTCACTCCTGTCCTCTCACCTGACCCTCAGTTCCAGGTGACCATCAGCCATGAGGACCCTTGCTCTCCTCACTACTCTTCTCTTCTTGGCTCTCCAGACCCAGGCTCGGACCCTCCAAGAGACAGCTGACCAGGTTCCTTCCCAGGACCAGCCAGAAGCCAAGGACAGCCAGAAGCCAAGGACCAGGGTGATCTTTGGGCTGAGGACCAGGACCAGGCTGGAGACGATGACCAGGATGTGGCCATCTCCTTCACAGGAGAGGAACGCCTTGCTCGAGGTGCAGGTGAGACATCAGCTAACCTGCAGTTTAGGTCTGTGACCCAATAGAAGGGCTTGTGAGAGGGAATGGGGAGTCTGGGCTTAAAATTTGGTGTGAGGATGAGGGAGGATAAGGAGTAAGTACCTCAAGTTGGAGAGGAGGGTCGTGAGGCAAGGGTTAGGACATAAACAAGTACATTATAGACTAGGATCAGAGTAAATTCATTATCCTACATGACCACACAGAGCCAGTAAGATTCCTTGTGATTTATGACAAACAGGAGAATCCTTTCACCCTAACCTGGCAGGTATTGTCTGCGGTAAGTGGAGAGTTCATCTCTCAGATCTCCATGAGGCTGGCTGTGCCTCTCCTCTCTGTCTCTTCCCCACTGTGCCTGACCCTCCTCTTCCCTCCACAGAACCTGGGACAGGAACCTATTGCTATTGCACACTCAAAAAATACTGCAATTTCCCTGAAAAAAAATCTGGGTCTTGCAAGTTGTATAACCGTCGACGCAAGCTTTGCTGTCGCTAGGCTTTGTGACAGAGACCGGAAGCCCTTCGAGATGCCACTGCAGACCTGAAGCAGTTTTCAGTCTTTGTACCTGTACCTTTTCTTCTTTCTCTCATCATAATAAACTCCAAGCAATAAACTCACTGTTTGGCTTTCCTTTTCTTTTCCATAAGACTTGTGTGTGTGTTCACTTATGTAGAGAATTCTGTCTTGAGTACTCTACAGTAAGTTGATCAGCCTTTGCATCTCAGTGGTGCACAACTGCAGCATCACACGGCAACAATCAGCAAAAATAAGCATAATTTTTAAATTGATTTTTTGAGAGAGAAAACCAATGATTTGTTGTTCCACTTATTATACATTTGTTGGCTGCTTCTTATATGTGCCCCAACAGAGAAACATACCCACAAACTTGACATATCAGAACTATGCTCTAATCAACTGAGCTACCTGGCCAGCACCATAATTCTTAAGACAATTTGAACCTACAGGATTCAATCTATTCGTAATGGAACTAAAAAATAAAATGTTTCTATGGAGTGTCCAGAAAGTGTTGTTGA